GCCAGGCCAGGCCAGGCCAGGCCAGGCCAGGCCAGGCCAGGCCAGGCCAGGCCAGGCCAGGCCAGGGCCAGGCCAGGCCAGGCCAGGCCAGGCCAGGCCAGGCCAGGCCAGGCCAGGCCAGGCCAGGCCAGGCCAGGCCAGGCCAGGCCAGGCCAGGCCAGGCCAGGCCAGGCCAGGCCAGGCCAGGCCAGGCCAGGGCCAGGCCAGGCCAGGCCAGGCCAGGCCAGGCCAGGCCAGGCCAGGCCAGGCCAGGCCAGGCCAGGCCAGGCCAGGCCAGGCCAGGGCCAGGCCAGGCCAGGCCAGGCCAGGCCAGGCCAGGCCAGGCCAGGCCAGGCCAGGCCAGGCCAGGCCAGGCCAGGCCAGGCCAGGCCAGGCCAGGCCAGGCCAGGCCAGGCCAGGCCAGGCCAGGCCAGGCCAGGCCAGGCCAGGCCAGGCCAGGCCAGGCCAGGCCAGGCCAGGCCAGGCCAGGCCAGGCCAGGCCAGGCCAGGCCAGGCCAGGCCAGGCCAGGCCAGGCCAGGCCAGGCCAGGCCAGGCCAGGCCAGGCCAGGCCAGGCCAGGCCAGGCCAGGCCAGGGCCAGGCCAGGCCAGGCCAGGCCAGGCCAGGCCAGGCCAGGCCAGGCCAGGCCAGGCCAGGCCAGGCCAGGCCAGGCCAGGCCAGGCCAGGCCAGGCCAGGCCAGGCCAGGCCAGGCCAGGCCAGGCCAGGCCAGGCCAGGCCAGGCCAGGCCAGGCCAGGCCAGGCCAGGCCAGGCCAGGCCAGGCCAGGCCAGGCCAGGCCAGGCCAGGCCAGGCCAGGCCAGGCCAGGCCAGGCCAGGCCAGGCCAGGCCAGGCCAGGCCAGGCCAGGCCAGGCCAGGCCAGGCCAGGCCAGGCCAGGCCAGGCCAGGCCAGGCCAGGCCAGGCCAGGCCAGGCCAGGCCAGGCCAGGCCAGGCCAGGCCAGGCCAGGCCAGGGCCAGGCCAGGCCAGGCCAGGCCAGGCCAGGCCAGGCCAGGCCAGGCCAGGCCAGGCCAGGCCAGGCCAGGCCAGGCCAGGCCAGGCCAGGCCAGGCCAGGCCAGGCCAGGCCAGGCCAGGCCAGGCCAGGCCAGGCCAGGCCAGGCCAGGCCAGGCCAGGCCAGGCCAGGCCAGGCCAGGCCAGGCCAGGCCAGGCCAGGCCAGGCCAGGCCAGGCCAGGCCAGGCCAGGCCAGGCCAGGCCAGGCCAGGCCAGGCCAGGCCAGGCCAGGCCAGGCCAGGCCAGGCCAGGCCAGGCCAGGGCCAGGCCAGGCCAGGCCAGGCCAGGCCAGGCCAGGCCAGGCCAGGCCAGGCCAGGCCAGGCCAGGCCAGGCCAGGCCAGGCCAGGCCAGGCCAGGCCAGGCCAGGCCAGGCCAGGCCAGGCCAGGCCAGGCCAGGCCAGGCCAGGCCAGGCCAGGCCAGGCCAGGCCAGGCCAGGCCAGGCCAGGCCAGGCCAGGCCAGGCCAGGCCAGGCCAGGCCAGGCCAGGCCAGGCCAGGCCAGGCCAGGCCAGGCCAGGCCAGGCCAGGCCAGGCCAGGCCAGGCCAGGCCAGGCCAGGCCAGGCCAGGCCAGGCCAGGCCAGGCCAGGCCAGGCCAGGCCAGGCCAGGCCAGGCCAGGCCAGGCCAGGCCAGGCCAGGCCAGGCCAGGCCAGGCCAGGCCAGGCCAGGCCAGGCCAGGCCAGGCCAGGCCAGGCCAGGCCAGGCCAGGCCAGGCCAGGCCAGGCCAGGCCAGGCCAGGCCAGGCCAGGCCAGGCCAGGCCAGGCCAGGCCAGGCCAGGCCAGGCCAGGCCAGGCCAGGCCAGGGCCAGGCCAGGCCAGGCCAGGCCAGGCCAGGCCAGGCCAGGCCAGGCCAGGCCAGGCCAGGCCAGGCCAGGCCAGGCCAGGCCAGGCCAGGCCAGGCCAGGCCAGGCCAGGCCAGGCCAGGCCAGGCCAGGCCAGGCCAGGCCAGGCCAGGCCAGGCCAGGCCAGGCCAGGCCAGGCCAGGCCAGGCCAGGCCAGGCCAGGCCAGGCCAGGCCAGGCCAGGCCAGGCCAGGCCAGGCCAGGCCAGGCCAGGCCAGGCCAGGCCAGGCCAGGCCAGGCCAGGCCAGGCCAGGCCAGGCCAGGCCAGGCCAGGCCAGGCCAGGCCAGGCCAGGCCAGGCCAGGCCAGGCCAGGCCAGGCCAGGGCCAGGCCAGGGGCCAGGCCAGGCCAGGCCAGGCCAGGCCAGGCCAGGCCAGGCCAGGCCAGGCCAGGCCAGGCCAGGCCAGGCCAGGCCAGGCCAGGCCAGGCCAGGCCAGGCCAGGCCAGGCCAGGCCAGGCCAGGCCAGGCCAGGCCAGGCCAGGCCAGGCCAGGCCAGGCCAGGCCAGCCAGGCCAGGCCAGGCCAGGCCAGGCCAGGCCAGGCCAGGCCAGGCCAGGCCAGGCCAGGCCAGGCCAGGCCAGGCCAGGCCAGGCCAGGCCAGGCCAGGCCAGGCCAGGCCAGGCCAGGCCAGGCCAGGCCAGGCCAGGCCAGGCCAGGCCAGGCCAGGCCAGG